AACACTCCTTATTAGTATTCTTTATATAAAGAATACTAATAAGGGTGACCTTTATCAGATATAAAGGTCCATGACCCTAGCAAAGGTCTCAGGTTTGAAACCTGATCATTGAACAACAATGCAGGATGTCAACCGATTTCAGTGAACAGCCAAGAGCGGTTCTATTTTTTATGCGTATTCAATGTGGGATGACAAGAGTGCTTTGTAAAGTGATTCGCGCATGATCAGTTTGCCCATTTATCTCTGAACATATTTGTACGACAATTTCTCCAGGAATTTTAACGGATTTGAGTTTCAAATTAGTGTTGGAGTTTTTTAAGCCTTTGCCTTCGCCTCGAATCTTTATACCTGATAAAACACTCTCTCTCATGTTTTAAACTATACATAAACACACTGTAATCCATCCTTTATTGCTTTTATGATATAGAAAGTCGGTTATGCTCATGAGTGTGGGTCTAAAAGGTGCAAGAACTTCAAATACCAATTCTTAATGCTATACAAAATGGCATTGCTGCACATTGTTGTGATGTAATGGCAACTGAATAGAGGTTGAATAAAGAGGAAATATAGAAAATTATTATTAAAATACTAATATACACAGAATATTACGCAGGAAGATACAGATTTTATCAAGTATTAAAAAGATCTCTTCCAAATGAGTGGGATATTTTTGACATGATGAGATGAAATCCATATCTCCAAGCAATCATGTAATATTCTGTTTATCATTCGAATATCCATGAAAGTAAGTTATTTAAAGGCGGCTAAATATGAGATACAAAAACCATCAACTTGGCGCGAAACATTGTTTCTGTTAAAGTTGAGTATCAAAGTTTCTCGTTTTTCATGCATCGTCAACTTGTTATGCAACAAAAATACATCATGAAAAACGAGAAACACCTATGCTCAACTTGAACAGAAACAATGTTTCGCGTCAAGTTGAGGGTTTTTGTTTCTCGTATTTAGCCGCCTTAATCCTATACACTGAATCCTATACAATTATAGAGTTACCATAAATGTGTTATTTTTACAGTGTAGTGAAAATTATAACAGTATTTTCAAAAAAAGATGGTAGAGGATATTACACGATTGGGGACAAGGAGATACAGATTTTATCTTTGAGTGTCAAAAAGATCCCTCACAATGAGCGTAGCAATAAGAAATATGTGATGGAGAAATATATGTATTTTATAGATAATTACAGCCCTTTGCAAAAATTATGAGAATTGTCTAAATATCATAATATCCATATCCATATATTGTCCGGAACACGCGGGTTTGCTAGAATAATTCATTGTTGACATCGAAAAAATGTTCAGAACTACGGATATATAAGTCGCCAAAAACAAAACTAAACTACAAAGACCCATCATGCACTTGATATTATGATATTTAGATATTTCAACAATTCTCATAATTTTTGCAAAAGGCTGTATATGATAAAGGCTACTATTTCATTATATAATAAACTGTTTTCCAATTTAGAATGGACCCACATCTGTTTTCTCATGTAAACAAGATGCTTATATCAGAGGACAGAGATCCAAGTGTCTGTTTTAAATATGTCTCCCCTTTGTCAACTGTGCAAGTAGCAATCTTTCTCAGTCTGTACTATATTATAAACGAAAGTCATGGTCATCAGCCAATGAGAGTGTATGTTATATCTCAAAACATTTTTTTGTATTTCAAAATTAAGCCTTTTTGATAGAGAACAAATTATTTTATTTTCTTTGACATTAAAATATAAAATTTTAACATGTTTAATTCATTAAACTGCATAGAAGCCTGAGCAATGTTTTCCAACTCTAGTAATTGTAGAATTAATAAATAATTTGTTTCTGAAGTCTTGCTTATCTTAACAATTAATAGAAAAAAAATTCACATAAGGCTAGCAACCGCTTTATGCGTCTTTAGGCAACTTTTCCCCTTTTTTATTCCTTTGGGCTACCTGTTTTCTTACAAGACTGCAGGGGATTATGGGATTACAGAGGRTATACTACAGGGATCCCAGTTGGGCAAATTGAAGGGCTGCCTGCTGATGAGGCTAAAATACGTTTAAATCTTGACATAACATTTAATCATCACAACTTTTACTGCCTTTTGATATCGATATATTGARCAATCTCTTTCAATAATTATAATTATGAATTTTAGACAGTGGTTGATTCCTTTACGATGTCATTACCTCATTCTGTCCACAAATAATTTCATTTAAATTATCTTGCATCATTCCTGACTTTCAGCCAGTAGATTAAARAAAGCCAATCCCTGCAACAAGCAATCACTCAAATCATCTTTCTTCTTACAGCCTTGAAAATACTGAATAAGGTTCTCTGAAATCTGAAGTTTTAACTCAAGTCCCGAAGAACTTGTYCCATTACTTTGCATCAGTGCAGCCTCCCCTTGGACACCAACAAGTCCTCCCACAAGAATTTCACTGCCTTCTAGTCCTGATTTCTCTTTCAAAAAGTTCTCRCACTCATCTTCAATGGCAACATCCTTCCGTTCCAGAAATAAACTCTGCACTAAGGTGATAGCAGCTTTCTTCTTTTGTGATTGTCCAGTTGGTAGTTTGAAGTATTTCGAGGTGTAGTGAGGGTCCATGGGAATGACTGGGGATTGTACTAAACAGTGTAGCATGGCTTCCATGATTCGTAGATGAATGACAAATGGGAGGAGGGAAGCAGCATGTTTTCCAACTCTGTGGCTTTGCATCTCTATTACAAAGGCATCTGCTTGAGGGAGTGAGTCCACAAATGCTTGCACCTGGTTAGGAAAACTCCAATAGTTCAGTACAAAAAAAGGAAGTACTTTGAGTGAAAAAATTAATAAATAAAAACAAACAAAATACTGGTGACCAAATGATAAAATTAAWAGATCTTTTTTGTACGGCTGGGGGCCTTTAACTGTTGACTAATAATTGATTACTTGATTGATTGATTGATTGATTGATTGATTGATTGATTGATTGATTGATTGATTGATTGATTGAAGGTTTATCTAACTGACTGACAAATTATTCATTGACTGATTGCTTGACTTACTGATTGGTCGATTGATTGATTAATTCATTCCCATTTCCATGGTGAGAAACCCTATTTATCACCCGTTATACATTGTTTTTGTAAATTAGGGAACTCCAACAATTCCCTTTGGTCACGTCAACCGTTAAAAAAAAAGCGGGCAACATGTTTGTTGYAGCCCTCAAAACAACTAGAGTACATGTCATGTCAAAAGTATGACTTTTTCACCAATAAAAATCATTTCCCAACATAATTGCAAAACAATGGTTTTACAGTCGCTTTGATACAAAATTATAGGACCCTCGCAAAACTTGTTTTCTAGCTGTGAAAAGGACTATTGAAATAGGTACAACGTTAAGGAGACAGCAGCCACATTATTACTAACCTGAGGTTTAAAGGATGCAGGGTTGTATGGCTTTGGCTTGGTGATGTATGTTTGTTTCCATGCTAAGACATTGTGGTCTTTATCCATGTGAATCCATGCGGCATTAGACAGACCAATGTCTATTGACACTATATTTGATATATCCTATTGGATTGAAACACAAAAAGGACTTAAATGAATACAGTGAACACCCAATGGACACCACTATATGACAGACACCTCTATAATATGGACACCTCTATAAGACAGACACCTCTATAATATGGACACCTCTCTAAGACAGACACCTCTATAATATGGACACTTCTATAATATGGACACCTCTATAATATAGACACCTCTATAATATGGACACTTCTATAATACAGACACCTCTATAAGACAGACACCTCTATAATACAGACACCTCATATCTCATATTACTAATGATTTTCTTTCAATCATCAGATTTAGTAACTTTTCTCCATTTTCACAAAACAAGAGAAAGTTAGCTTAGTGAAATAAACCAACATGCTCAATCTCAACTGCCCATCAGGCTACTGACCTGTTTTTGCTCATCAGAAATGAGAAAACCCAAGATCTCRTGCTGTCTGGAAAACTTCTTTGTTGTGGGTGGGAGTTCACCATTCTGCTCAAGCCATGAAAAGAAAGCTTTTCCATAACCTTTGAYGTTCTTCAGTTGAGTCAGGTCAGTTAGTGGACCATGATCTTGTTTAAATTTAAAAAGGGCTTCTGCTTTGTTTTTCCCGATGTTTTTGGTGTTTGTAAGTTGCTCAAGTGTTCTGTTATTCAAGTCTTTTAAAATATTCTTGAAATGAATAAGAATTAAGTTAAGTTATAAGTTTATACATGTAGTAGAGCTTAATAGTTTGTTAAGTCTTATGTAAGATTTTGTTTGATGAAGCAAAAATATAATATTAACAATTCAAATTCAAAGTTAACCTCACCTTTGATTGCTCGTCCGTAATATTCAGTACTAATTTCTCCTCTCTTTTCTTTGATTGAYTTTTCCCTTTTTTATTTGAATGGATGATTTCCTTTGAGCTGACTTTCACTGCCGTTGACAAGCTACACAGATCTCGTGTTTTTGCAAAAATTCTGTGATCCAAAGTTTTGCATCCACTCACACGGTAAAACTGAAGGCAGCAATTCATTAACCATCTTCTGCTCATATCTAAACGCMGTATATCGACTGCAGTATTTGATTTTAGGATCAAGTAGATGTTTACATCATGAACCTAGTGCAGCGCCATATTGGATTAAAAACACCTTTCCTCCCTCCCCTCYCTCTATAAGTTTTGAATGATAAGGCTTGGCTACTAAGTTGTCAATCTAAACAACATGGCGGACAAAGAAGCGGGGAAAATGCTGTCATCAGATGATTTTGTCGATCTTTTTTCACCTGAATATCAGGAAAATACAGAATGCATCAAAGGAATCGGGAGGGGAAAGCTTAAGACAAATATTGCAGGCCTGAAGTTACCAAAAGCTGCCACGAAAAAAAAGAACGATWGTCAAAATACAGCACAATTTGTCTTCGGACGGGGTCGAGGAAGTGCGAGAATGAATGCAGCTTTGTCGAACCAGCCTGCAAGACTTCCAAGACAAAAACAATCTCAGCAGGGTTATTTAGGCATACATGTAGGTGCTTTCCGTTCATTTTTACTTTTGTACCTTTGCATTTGTGCGCTTCGTAGTCAATCCCATTAGAAAGTTCAACGTTGTTCTGACAGTTGTAAAGACGTATTATTTAATAAGACAACAAACAAAGTCATTTCCATATATCGAACTTTTAAATTCTTTGCGGGAATATTCAGGATAAAGCTCTACAGTGTCAATAACATTTATTTTAAGTTTATAATTAAAATTCTTCCTGTGAATGTCATAAAATCTATAATTTATGCAAATGACTTTGTCGTGTCTTTACAAGTAAACAACGTTAAAGAAATCCATTGTATGTGTATTTTAAGACTTAAAGTTATTATTCATTGTTATTAAAATTCTTATAATAATTCTTATTAGAATACATCTTCTTTCCCATCATTACAAGCATCGAATGTTGGAGTTTCAAGAGTGTCAAATTCTCCGAAGACATCTCACAAAAAAGACACCAAACAGACCATAACAAAGTCAGACTCACCGTGGCCGTCATTATTAGACTCATACACAACAAGACGTTTTGATGGTTCACCAATAAGTCAACCATCTTATTCAAATTCCGTCTCAAGTAATGTTATGGTAAGTGAAGTGACCAAGTAGTCTCCCCTCCCCTCCCCAGGAAGTCCGACAAAAGGGGAGGCTGCGAAGGAAACTAGTGGCCAAGTGAATAAATGTAAATTGAGTAATTGAAAGGACAGTAATGCCAGTTATAAATTCAGTTGGTCATTTGGAGGAGAGGTTATATAAGGCACTGGATAATAAACGGATGGATGGATGCAGTTGTGAAATAAGATAAATTTTATGCCATAAAGAATACATTAAGTATATRCAACTTACTGACTTTTCAGACATTAGTCCTTTGTCGGAGTAATAAATAGATGAATGAATAAGATAAATGAAGGGGTAGATAAACAGGGGGTGCATACCTCCTGATTTTGATGCCCCAAAAACATGAACAATTTTTTTTTGCAAGTATAAAATCCCTCCCCTCTTGCCCTAAAAGAGCACCTGAAGTCTCCTTTGTAGCCTCCCTTTTTAACGGGCTTCCTGTCCCTCCCAAAAGAAAACAGGAAGCCCCAAAAGGGGAGGCTGTAAAAGAGACTAGCACCTCAATGATTGGATGAATGATTTTAATCATTTTTAAAAAGAGATTAATGGAATGCATGAATGGATGATGTTCGCAAATGGATRAAATCAATGGATGGGTGGGATTTTGAGGAACGATTGTATTTTAATGAATGGATGGATTTCAATAACTTAATTAATGGATCATTAAAATTACTAGCAAACTCCTAACATTGATGGGGATGACATAGTCGTGATAAGAAACTTACCAGAAGCAATTATAGAAGAGGTAAGGATTGTACAAAAAGGCAACCTAGTCACCAGGCTTCCCCTTCCCATTATAATCACTACACCTGGGTACTAAAGCTGCATTTCATTCATTCTGCACGGTAGACTCATCCAGGTTTTATTCGGAAAAATCAGAAATATTGATCAAATACACCAAACTCAACTGATTTGAAAGAGGAAGTGCAACCGGTATCCTACCTAAAATGTGCAGACTACTAAGAATAACATCCCCTCCCCTCCCCCAAGGGACTTATGCTATTGATTCATTCTTTGATCAGGATCTTCGTGAACTCCTATCTCTGTATGGCGGTGTCTCAATCTGTAACCTTGAGAGGGACACACAAGGAAATAGCTTAGGATCAGCACTTGTAAGGTATCAAGCTACATTGATTGAACTGGCTCTTAGGGGAATACTAGGGGACGGAACAGGACATATCTCCCCAGTCTTCCCACAAGAATATTTTTTCAAAAGCTATTAGGAATACTTATATAATATTTTTTTTAGAATGGAAACAASCACTGAGTCTGAATGGATCATAAGCTGTTTTAATGATCAAGAATACCC